AAAGGTCCGTGTGAGGCGCTGAAGAGGCTTCCAGTGGGGAAGCTCACGAAGCGCTGGTGTGCGATGAAGTCCTGTCGACTCGCTCGCGCGCGCGCGCGCGCCAGCGCCACGCACGTGAGCTCACGTCTCGTGTCTGATCGTTCACGTGCGTTTGTGATTACTTCATGCGGTGCAACCGGGTTGCTTCCAGCGGCTCGAGCTTCTGAACTGGAGGGAAAGCGTGGCAACAAGACCCATTGGGTTCACAGTGACATAGCTTGGAAGCTGGAGTTGGATTGGTTGGACTACAGCACAAAACTGTGTCGACGAGTCCAAATCAGCGCTTCCTGCCAGATCTCCCCGGAGTGCTAGCCAGCCTCTTGACATACAGTAACTCCCTTGAACCTGAATGACCTCTCTTTTGGACCACAAACCACCCAAAATATTGTCTCTTCCTATCAAAACAGAGTTTATATAGGTCCAATATATGGCCCACTCTCGGACCAGGGCAGAGGTGGCCTTCCCCATGGCCAGGAGGCCTTGAGTCTTGAGGTTTCTCTTTCTCAGTCTCGTGGGCTCACCTATCACCTATCAGTAACCCAATTCCGAGACGAGAACGACGAGGCCATTGGTTCGGGCACGCCGCCGCGTCTCGCTTTACGCGTCTCGGTCCTCAAAGCTCTTGGGTTCTTTGCTCACCTGGAAGGGCGTTTGTTTCAGGGGGAGGACAATAAGCTAGTAGTAACCAAGTGCATCGCTACTAGTAACAAGTGCCTTACTAGTAGTAACAAGAAGCCAGTAGAAACAAGAAAATAAAGAACCGTCGGGTGGATATCCCAAAACCGCTACAGTACTCACTGTATCCCCCTTGGCTCCTGCCGGTCGACAAGTGTCAAATGCATGCTGGTGCATGGTTTGGAGGGCAAACCCCAATAAGCCCCAGCAAATCCTGCATGTGAACCCAACCAATCACCTGGACGAAGCTGTGCTTGCGATGTGGTGCGTAATTCACACTGATCCCAGCACAGAGCCCAGAGCGGTGAAAGCACGCTCGGTCAGCTTCGCGGTGGTGGGAACTCTCGATCTGTGTCCAATCAGGTCCCAAATTCAGAAGTAGGGCAGGGAACGCAATTGTGACAAAAATCATGGCACAGCTCCTTTTGATCCAAAAGACGACAATCCGATCAGGGTCTGGGATGAAAAGCTCCTTGTCGTCATGTGGGTTCCAGAATCAAAAAAAAGGGTCAGAATCAGGACCCGGTTCTGCCGGTTCTTTCGGAAACGTCAAAAGCACCGGCTTTTTGAAGCGAGCGAAGCGACTTCGTGGGGAAAAATAACACAGCATATTTGACCCTGTGAGGAAAAGGAATGAGGACAAGAGAGTATGTACACCACCCTTCTACCTGGACCATCCTGGACATGGGCGTTCTGTCTAGAGTCTAGCCCTAAGTAGTTTGGGGTAGTCCAGCGACACTCAGACAGGATGGTCCTGGTTCTGGTATACTTCCATACTTCCTAAGATTCTCTACCTCCTTTTTCAAAGAACCTGTGGCTTCCCAAGGTCCACGAGACGAACCGCCCACCTCATCCAAGAAGGCCTCGAACTTCACCGGATGCCTTGGGAAGCGAGGGAGCTGCTACTTTCTCTTGGCAGTGACCGTAGCGTACCGGAGCTACCCCGACCCCCCCCCTTCAACCACCACTTCGTGGGAGACTGGTGCGGTGGAAAGGAGACCAGTCGACCCAGCCGAAGCTTCGGGGCGAAGCTTCAGGGGCGTCTCCCTATTCAAATACACCACCCATGTCCCGTCCATCGTCCCCATCACATCACCTCGGTTTTCCTCTGCTCCGTGAGGTGTTTCTCCAGTCTCGCGCTCATTAAATATATATTTTATATATATATATATATAAAGCAAGACAGGAGATTCAAAAAACATAAACATCTGCACGTCTCCCCCTTTTCAGCACTCTCCAGTCTCACTGTTCGTCGAACCGGTCGGGTTGGCCGGGCGGGCGGTGGGCCAAGTACCAGGACCGAAGCCACGTAAGAGAGAGGTGTCCATTGTCCAGTTCGCCTCGTTTTACAAGGTTCAGGAAGAGAACGGGGTGTCCAAGAACCGCTGCACGAACGGGTTCGGTCCTGGAATAGGTTGGATCTATCACGAGCTTCCAGGGCCCAGTGGAGGATGATAAGACCTGATGGGGGAATAGTCGCAGACCTTTCCATCCATCTCTCAATGAATTTACAGGCCAACAGCCTACAAGTACCAACATGTAGAGCGCCCTTTTCTTGAGCCAAACATAGAGGTCAATATGGTATGTACAGGTGTACAATCGTGCAAATACACCCCCCGCTGAACGCACTTGGCAGCAAAGGTAGTGAAGAACTCTATACACGACTATGTACACGGGACAACGTGCATACCTTTCCGACCTCCGGTTCCCCGGTGTTTCCCTCATGGTTAACACCGTACGCGCCTATGGCTTTCATAGATTCTTTGCCGACCTGAGGCGCAAGGGAACGACGATTAACTCGATTAAGTTATGAAGTCAGCTGCCGAACGGACGATCGAAGATTGGACGCAGCGCTTTTCACATGCATCCACAGCTCGTCAAATTGGAAATGGGCCTTTTACATAGGCACACGTTTCCACGCGGCACGCTGAGTGATGCTTTCAGGAAGAGTGCACGTCGGCCTTTCAGGAAAGAATGCGGACAGCCTCAAAGAAGTTGAACATGAGGCTACTGCTTCCGCAGTGCGTGCGAAGGCTCCCGAGAGCATTTCGACACCTAAAGGGGCAATGTAAGACCACAACCACTGAATAAAAAGAATTGCACAACTACCGTAAGGCATCGGCTCCCGCCGTGCATTGGTGGAGTTCACTGTCCGCGACGCCACCAATCCGCTCCGTAGTTGTCTTGGTACCATGTCCAATCTGCATAATGCCAACATTTGATGTTCCTCCCTTTCCAGGGTTTGATGTTTGACTAGGGTTTTGTGTTTTGCCTAGGGAGAAACAGCTGTGGCAACAGCTGGAGCTGAAAAAGAATGCCAGAACACAAACCAGATTGATGCCAGAACTGATGTCAAAACATTGTGTCACCGCATACGTTTGCTGAGCCACTTGTGCACAGCTAATCCTTTTGGTGTTTGGCACTAGTGGTTGCGCAAGCCTCATCTGCATGTGCCACCGAAACTCTTCATCAACATTGGTTAGTGTAATTTTTGAAAGTGGCATCAAAAGATGCAAGTGGACAGGAGCCTTTACAAGTACCTTTGTGCGCACGCGCGTAATACAAGCCTGTCCTCGTGCTTGTGGCTTAGAAAGGGTGAAGGCTGTCAGACCCATATATGTTTTTCCAAACCTCTTTGTTACAAGGTGTTGTATATATATATGTATATATGCGTGTAAACATAATGTACATATCACATCTCACGCAAGCACTCAGCTGGGGTCCATCTGGCGTCCGTTTCGATTTGTTTGCCACCACGAGTTTTCCAACCTGTTAACTTCACTACTTGTTAAACATTGATAACAGGTGTGAACCAGCTTTCAAGAGCAGAACTCCACAGGGTCTTCAAACAGTCATTTAGAACACATAAGACATAAGCATTTCAACCCCCATCCATTTCTCCCGCGGCCATTGCGAAGCAATGATGGCATCTTTTTTCGGGGAGGCTCGGAGTCGTTGGGTTCGGAAGATCAAAGATCTCTAAAGATCTCTAGGAGGTTCAGCCCTCGGCTTCTTCCTCATCCTGCTCGCATTCCTCTTCTTCACCACCCTCTTGAAGGGCTCCGAATTCCAAATCTTCAGTTTCCTGAATCTCTGCCTCACATTTGGGTTCATCCTTCTTTACGTTCAACTTGGCCACCCGGAGCATCTCATCCTGCAGGAAGAATGGTTTTGAGTGATTAGAGATGGAACCCTGCCCAAATCACAAATACATCTTATTTCAAATAAGATCTTTCCTTTAAGGTCACAGCTGCATTCACATCACCATGGGTACGCACCAGTTCCGCTCGCATTGCAACCTTGTAAGTATGCAGGTGGTACCACAAAAAGTTTGCATACACATCGTTCTACTCATGAGTCATGAGCATAGAAAATAATTGCAACTCGTAGCCGCAATGTCTTCTTGGACTTGTTCGTCCAAGTCCGGGTCTGGGTGCATCTTAGTGGACGATGCGTTCTAGGAAAAAGATGTTCCCCAACACATTTCAGTGTGTAGTTCTTCAAACCCTGTGTGCCACCCAGTCACTGAGAGCGCTTTCTCCTGCTTGCCTCCAACCTTGAACCCCCAGACTCCATTCTTGTACCGGTACTTTGAGATCCCCAGCGCAGCAGGCTTTTTCAGCAGTGGCTCATCGTTGCCACCAGTACTCGCAGACGAAGGCCGCTTCAGCACAGGGAGACGAAGGGCTGACTTTCTCGGCGTGGTCTCTTCAGGAGCTTCGGTTTTGGGTGGTTCAACAGAAGCCGCTGGCCTTTTGAAAGGTTTTGGACCTGTAGGTTTGGCTGGAGGTTTGGCCTTGGCCTTACTGGAACCTGTGGCTCCTGCTTGACCCTTCTGAGATTCATCAGCATCAGAGAGCTGGTCTACGGGGCTCAGCACCATGGCGGCGTACAGCCTTTGAAAGCCGTCCATTCAACCCTTTTCACTATCTATGTAGTTGGACCAAAGCTTTCACAGAGTATCCCAGGAATCACTAATATATCTAATATAGATACTTAGATACTAATAGTTCGACCAAAACATTCACAACGCGCCCCAAAAAAACACATCAGCCTAAATGGCATGTGGTTTGCAATGGCATTCGTTTCTTCACTCGTTCTCACTGTACACTGGGTAGTGTGATGTGAGATCCAGCCCCAAGACCGCAGAAAGCTTTACAAACCAATCAACACAAGCAACCACTTTGGAAAGGTCTCCCAAACAATGTTACGAATGAATGTTTGGTATCAAACAAACCCAACAGCAAACCAGTTGAAAAACAATGAGTTCAAATGCGGCCATGAACCTACGCAAGCTTGATTGCTTGCTTGGCGGGCACATTGACTGTGCCTAGCAGAAAATACTTTGGCTTCACAGGGGTGATCACAGAAGGAATCTCTTCGCCAGCTTCAACCTGCATTGGAGACATCTTGATACCAATGGTACTGTTTGACACTGTTTGTAAAAGGAAAAGGGTGAGTTGGACTCCAGGCCTCCCAAATCAATCCAACATGATCTGCTCGAGGCAGCTGCTGCAGCCGACCGCACCACACAGCCCCCAGCTGCCCTGCCCTGAGCTGTCGTCGATCGCAATCGCTAGGAAGTTCCTTTGGCTTGAAGCTGTTGACTTTTGACGCAGGAGTCACTGAATAGCGAAAGTTCAGTGGAACTTGCTCACCAGTAGAGGTCACCTTCACAGATGATTTCATGATTAAAGAAAAACTGACATGATTGAGCGTATCATCACAAATGAAAAACAACAATGTAAGATGTTTTTCTTAGACATGATGAGCCTTGAGTTTGGGCTGGAGTTCGTGGTCAATGATCTTGCACTCTGTAATGCCCTTGTTCTTGGCCACTGAACAAACCACTTCTGCCAGGGACATGAGCTCCTTGTCAGTTCCCTCTTTGATCAAGGCGACCAGCTGCTTGTCATCGCTGACCAGCCATGACAAGGAGGCGTCGAGAGTGGCCGCATGTTCTGCCAGGGTTCATTGATATTGGTTTGTGCACAAACACCTCAAAAAATAATAATCGAAACATATCGAAACAGTAGGGGCTCAAGGGTGCTCATGGCTTTGTTAGTACCACACAGTGCCTGAAGCAACTTCAACAAAGCTGCCCAGATTGAATCCGAAGAGCTCTCCAGCAGGCAACGCAATGTCCTTTTCCGTTTTGTTCACCAAGAACAAGTGGCCCGTAGTTGTCACAGCCGCTTCCAGAGACGGTTCACGGGCCAGCTTGGCGCAGGCATCCAGCCTTTGGACCGATCAAGGAGACCCGGAGAGGATGTTCCCGAGAAGAGCACGCGATTGTTTACATCATGTTTAACACTAGTGTGGGAAATGTAAAGCTGTTGACCAAACTAGAGCGAGAAACGAATTGCTCGATTCGAAATCCGTGATCGGCACCCCAGACAGATGAAGGCGCTTCCTGAAGTTCACAACGGCTTCACCTTGCCAATCTGGGTTGGCCACAGTTCGGGGAGCGTCTGCTTTTGTTGGACTAGTAGTAGTAGGTGACCCCCCATGATAAGCGACCAAAGCTTTGGCAATCGCAGTCTCATCAGCCAAAGCATCCAAACAGGCCTGCAAGGCTGCACCATGACTGGGCTTGAACTTTTGCTGGAGTACGTCTGGAATCCTGAGATGGCCATGCTCACACAATTGGGACAGTTTCATTAAACACATTGTATCACATTGTAAAAGTAAATGAAAAACACAGTGGGAAAGAAGCGCTAGGCCAATGGGAGTGTCTTCAACTGGTCATCTGAATAGCTCAAAACCTCCAGCTTGGGTGGCTCAACCCCAAACGTCGCATTGGGGCGGCTGGTAGCACCTGCTTCATCGCTTTTGTCCCACCACTGACTTAGCATGCGGCCAGCAACAGAATCTTTTGCAGACTTCATCACAGCTGCATCGGCGTCATGGTAGACCCCCAGGTATCGAATGTCAACAGACTTGTCGTCCTTCTCCTTTGTCAACCAATCTCGTTGCAGGAGCCAAGATGCGCCGCTCCACTCTGCAAACCTGCAGGAGAACCACTCAGCACATGGAAAGAGACCATGGGGAAGTGGGAGAATGTGGGATTGATATTGAATGACATTGCTTGCCCTTCACCAATCCTCTCACTGAACCCACAACTCCTGGATACACTCACATGCGGTCATGGGCACACATCAAGATTCCACAATAATTTCAGCCTGGCCTGTTTGGGAGAAGGTCCACCAGCAGCAACGTTGGAGTAGATGCAGGGTCAGTGATCCCGTCCAAAAGCTGAAGGATGATCTCTTTCGTAGCACTGGTTCCACGTTGCTGCACCTCGATGCCCCAAGAGGTTCTAAAAATAGATACGACAGCTTGGCAGCTACAACTGCAAAGCATAAGGGGTTCAAAAGTTGCGGGATCAACCGAGTAACCCAGTGTGGTGAGAGTGGACGGTCCGGCTCAGGGTTGACCAGCTCACCGACACGTGCTCTGGGGATGTCGGAGATGGTTCCAAGGAATGCTTTCGATTTGGTCCATGGGTTGTTGGTGTGGTGCCCAGCCACACCTGCCACACCTGAAAGGAAGAACCAACAGTGAAAAGTATTCTTGCGTGAGTGAGTGAAACCAAAAAAACAGCTGAGTGAAGCACATTGTTGACTGTTTTTGCGGCGATCACCTCCATGTCGCTCTCCCGAAAACACCAGAGAAATCTCATAGGTGTCCAAAACCCTTACAGTGGCAACCCATTCACTCAGAGCCGCAAAACATTCACTGTGAGAGTGTGAGAGAGGACAACAAGGGTTGTGTCACGTAGACAAGCCTTTTCAGTCGAGATTCCCCAGCACCTTGTCCTCCAGTAGGCGCCTATGCTTCACCACGGCCGTCTTAGGAGCGGATGAATGCCACTGCGGAAGCAAGAAGAGGGCTGCAGAGGCCGGAGAGCCAGTGGTCACAGTCTGAGAGATCTGAGCGCACTCGTCGATGGAGAGGTGTCCTCGTTGAAACCCCCATTTGTACAACATGTTTGTGTATATATATATATATACATGAAAAGACCCCCACAAGTTACCCGTTATTCCCTTAAAACTCATGGTGCAGAGGGGTTCTGGGGGACTTGTGGGGGTCTTTTTAATCTTTATGTTTGTTTCATCTTTATGTCTGAGTGCCAATCTTTTGGAAGAATGCAAATTGGCGGGATCATATCTTTCCGACCAGGCACGAATTGGCCACAAAGTGGCATCGCCCACAAGCAATGTGATCCTTGTGGGAATTCATTCAGCTGGTTGAAACCAAAGTTCCATGGACATCCATGGACGATGCATTAAGATCAAAGTTCAAACATCATCTAGTGACAATCTAGTGAAGAGTTTTTTGCTAAGCCACCCATTGGTGCCCAGTTCGTTCTGCATGGAAACGATAGCATTGTGTGCCATGATGATGGAACTCTGGTGTGTGAAGCGGTGACACTTGTTCATCATATTCTCAACAGCCGCCTTCCCCTTCTGATACCTATCAGAAAGGTACTTCAGGTCCAGACCAGCCTCACAGCCACATATGATAAATGTTTTGGGATCAGAAACTGAAGCTTTCAGAACATCAAGCATCGAGCACAGGGACTGCCTGCTTCTGTGCGAACAGGTCGAACTCTTGAGCCCATGTTTTCAGCTTCAACAAATCCGATTGGATGCCCAGCTCCGTTTGTTGCCAGCTGGTAGCCAACAACTGCGCAGATAGCCTTAATGGTAGAAACAAATAACCCATCGCTGGTTGTATATCGACGGTCAACGTGTGTGTGTGAACGTTGCTGACAGGCATTGCATCCAGAGGACGAAGCGGCCTTGTCATTGTTCTTCTGCTCGACCTGCTAGGCTCTCAGAAACAGAGCATTTGGGTTCAGGACGATGCAGGTGTTCATTTGACATTGATGGACCCGCCTCATGCTTGAATTTTGCCAGCGGGCTTGAAAACAACGCCACTTTGGTGACATCAGCTGGTGGTACGCTGTGTTCCAGCATGTGCAAGATGTCGTGGTCAGCGTGGCGCATAGCAAACCTGTTTCACGAGAAGGATGAAAACCATATCACCATCCCTATGTGTGTACACAAGTATAATATGACGAGTCGCGTTTTGTTGATATCCGGTATCACTGAATCAGCAAAGGATTTGGGGACCATGGTCATGAACTGATCCAGCAACGCCATGTACCCAGCACAAATGCGTTGCAAGTTTTCCTTGAGACACATCATTGAATCAATAAAGTTAATGAATTGCACAATGTGAAAACAGCGGTGCAATGCAGGATAATCCAACGCGGCCTTGCTTCCAAGTCCTTACCCGTCCAAGCTTTGCGCATCTTGGGGGGCCAGGTTGACCCAATCACTTTCCATGCGGGAAATTACAACCTCCAGCAAGCGTTCCGTATTGACCAAGTGAGGCTTCCATGCCGAGAAGGGGCCAGAGGCACTGTTGAAACCCACGTTCAGCAAATTCATCGCCAAGGATTCATGCGTGATGAAGCGTGCTTGGGTGTACTTCCTGGAGAAACAATTAAAATGGAACTAGCAAAAGCTGAAGCGCCAAAAGCTGCCAAATGGGAACTGCAAAAAATCTATCAATGGCCTTGCTAGCTCAGTAAGTTTGTTCTTGATGCCAACGGGGATGTTCTGGAGTAAGTTCACTGCGGCTTGGCTCTCTTTGGCGCCAACCGAGAATGCACTGGCGAAAGCCGCTACATTCTCTTGCGCCTGATTGAAGTAAACGGCAGGACTCCAGGTTCTAGCAACACAGGTCCACACAAGCCTTGAGGTGCCGCACACTCTGCTCTGCTGACAGTCCCCCTTGCTGCAGGAACTGGAGCTGGTGCAGCAGATTAAAGCAATTGGGACGCCTCCTGAGGGTGCTGGCAGCTGAAACGCCTGCCACAGCAACGATTTTGTTTGATGGTTGATTCCAATGTGACCTGTGACAATACATCAAATGTCAAACAACGGCACTTGGTCAAGTCCTCGATTGGTGCTGACCACTTGTGTGAGCTCCGGCTCCACAAGGGTGACGTAAATGCAAGAAAAAGTCCTGCGACGCGCAATTGTAATTACGCATCACACTTGGGAAAGCACGAATATCAGTGAAGCTAAGTCACTTCTTGGTATCCTCTGGAAAGGCCTGTGGGCAGATTGCTACACAAATACTTGGTATCCCAGGCTGCAAATGGCACCCTGCCTCATACAGCCCTGGGAGCTCAAACATGGCCCACAAAGTTGTCAAGCAGCAAACGCTGCGATTCCATCCCTTCACCATGAAGAGCTTCGATGGAGCTGCCAGCGATGGGTCAAATCCGAGGTCTACCTTCATATTGATGTCAGGCATGGGGCCCTCCTGGAGCCATGCTGTTTGCATTCGACATGCGCACAGCTTCTCGTTTCCAGGCTTGTTTGGGTCGCTCTGGAAGCCGTTCAAGGCAATAACCTGTGTCAGTTGCTGCTGAACGTCCTCAGGAGAAGAAGCCAGATAAAACTACTCAGCAGGAACAATGAATTGCTAAAAATGCAAAAGGCTTGAGGAAAGCGCAATGTCGGATGTGCCACGAAGTCCATAATCCATCCTGTGCGGCAGTTGCCATGGGCGGCAAAGGTAGCCGCCCACAGTGTCCAGCTGAGAGGACTCCAAGTAGGACCTGACGCTGATCTGCGCACAGTATAATTTAAGATCTTTACAAGAGAAGACTTTGAGAATTGCACCAACCATCGATAGGAGGGAAGTTGTAGTCGATCCACTTGTAGAACTCCGCGCTAGTGTCCTCCCCCCCACAGGCACAAACATAAATGTCAAATAGATCAACCTTTAATGAAGCGCCTGAATTGTTTGTGAATGGTACGAATGCGCGCGCACTACCCATTCCACTCCTTGTCAGAGAGTTTCTCGCTCAGAAAAACATCCATTGTCTTGTTTTCCTTCAAGATGTTTGTGTTCCTGAAGTGGTAGCATGTAACAAACGGCACGCAGACCAAAGAAACGACTGTTGATGTGAGTCTCACATATTTGCACAAGACATTCACTGTGACCCGTTTTTGATCTAAGAAACATCCATTCGTCCAACATCACCATGTGTTCCATTCGAAGTGCGTCAGCAGGAATCGCCCCTGCATCCTTGCCTCTCTTGGCCGGTTTTTTCGGCGCTGAGGCAGAAGCAGTCCTCTTCTTGGGCGCCATCGCAAGTCCTGGCAGGCAAGATTTTGTGCCGAGTGGGGCGGCGATGACTCCGGGTTTGTGCCGAGTGCGAAGTTCCGACAATGGTTTTGTGCCGAGTGGCACGTTCGCCACATCCATTTGTGCCGACTAGCGCCCTGACTAAGCACAAAGAGTGTGAGTACTTCCCAGGTGGTCAATTTGTGAGTGGTGTTCAGGTGGTACCACAGTGATTTGTGAAGACTAGTTTTGGCACTAAGTTGACAGTCAATCAAACACCGCGGTTTGTGCCGTATGGCGTCCTCGGTAAGCACGAAACCCTTTGTGTTAGCAAAGAAACCAATGATAAAAACAACAAGATACACAATCAATCCTGTCCACCACTGGTGCCCAGCCAGTTAGTGCCGGATGGCGACACCGATAAGCACAACCTGTTGCTCCCAGTCCGAGACATTTTTTGTGCCGGATGATCTCTGCACAAACTCAAGCAAGGTTCTTCCAGACCCTGCGCAAATGACAGTTTCCCCCAATCCCCAAATCCCATCCTATGGGACAGCTTGGACAGGCTGCTTGCAATGTCTTGTGAACAGGGCTAGGGCACGACACTAGGCAAGATACAGTGAGCTAGGGCGCAAAATCAGTAAACACTTCAAATTGTGGGTCGATTTGAGATTCCATTTAGTTATAGTTCCAACATGTTCCAACAAAAGAGTTCCCTGCTCCCAATGACACCGCAAACACCTAATCCGTCTTACATCCCCAGGGCTGGACAGTCGTAATCAACTACTCCAAATCACCAGATACCGTTCTGACAGCTTGCTTCACAATGCGAATGGCTTCGGACATAGCTACACCTTGACCCCAGAGCCTTGATGCGGCCCTGTAGATAGTTTGGTGCCTCTTGGCACGCTCAAATCTAATCAGTTCATCTCGTCCTGGCCTTTCCCGCCGAAGTCGAAGATCATTGGGGGCCTCAACCCATCACAATCATAGCGATGGTACTAAATCCACAAAGGTATGAGGGCTGAACCGCTTGCAAGTCCTGCACCATCCCATGGATCGCGAACGCAGGCCCTCCAACCAGTGGACCACGAGCTGTCAGTGCCCTGGGCCGGGCACAAAGCCGCAGGGGTCGCAAGCTGATTGGGCCAACTGGCTGGGGGTCAGACCATCCCACATCAAGAAGAGGCCAATGAGTACAGGTGCCATAAGACAGCCGTTCTAACTCATCTGCAGATTTGTGCATGTCGAAGGGGTGTGCACCTAGATCACACAAAGTCGTTAAAACAATGTTTGCGCTAGTTTTTTTGAAGATGCCATGGTGCTGAATAAATGGAGTGAACACAATGTGTCTACAGCCTCACGCTTGAAATCTCACGAGGCACCGACGCATAATGGCCGCATACTTTCTGAGCTTTTGGTTCTCTTCGGAGTTCACGTTCATCGGAGGCTCCGTAAAAACTGGAGTAGAAGAATCACAAACAATCACTGATATGACACACAAGCCATGTGTGAACACGCACAAACCATGGGTGCCTGGTGGCACTTCACCCATGAATTGGTGGATGGCACACGCAGGGAAGAAGAGAAGCGGTTTGGCAGTCCAGTTGGGAGTGCTCATAAACTGCTTGGTCCTGGCAAGAGGCAATTGGGACGCAGCGCCTTCAGAAAAACAAAACCGTCCTCAACACCACATCGTTGGGCGAAGGAACATACCCTCTACGTCGCCAGAAAGTATCGTCGATGCTGTCTCTCGGAAGTCCTGGGCACAGTCACAAAATAGAACAACATAGAAACAATGCTGTGGCTAAGAAACAACATGAGGGTGTGCAATCTGTGGCTAAGAAACAATGCTGCCAATCCCAATCCTGACTCCGCCACTCTCTCCAGCAAGAAGTGGTGGGGGGGCGCCAGGCCCACCTATTCCGGTGATCCGCATGTGATCGTAGTGCTCAGAGAAGAAGTTGGTCCTGACTGAAAAAACAGTAGAGTGTAGAAAGAGTTTGTCCGATCTCATCACTTACTCCAGGTGATTGCGCCTGGCAAAGACACTAGTTATTGGCTGAGCAGCCAAGGCACCAGTCACGAAAGCGAGTCAACATGAAGACTTCCCGGGAAGGTTCATGGGGCCGTCGCTGAGGATCAGCCAGATACTTCTGAAAGCAAGTAACGAAGTCATCAGGAACCTCCAAACGTGGGGCTGCAGCGAGGCACGAGCGGAGGTTGGCAAAGTAGCTGTCTACGTCTTCGTGAGAGTGACCCGAGGCTAAAAATCCAAGGGTCACCGAGGCCAGCTTCCGCTGGGCCACGAGGGCGCCAAAGAAGCGAAGTGTTCCAATATTTTTCACTTCCTTTGTGCAATTGTCCGCCTGGACGTGGAAATGAGCTGCGCTCAAATCCACGCCCTTCTGGTGTAATGCTGTCAGGCCCCGGGCCAACAGCTCGACGCTGCGACTGCTGTTGGAGGTATGTGAATGCGGACTCAAGCCCATCAGAACACAATGACCGTGTATCAACATTGTGGTATTGGACAGTCGGGGTCTGACAAAGGACCCGAAGTCCTTCGCTTGGATCTGCTCGCATTTTGGCCAAGCATGTTTCTGCTGGTCCATCGAGTCGATAATGGCTGTGATGTAGTGGTGAGTGCCATTGGCAGCGCAGGCCCTCGAGCGAGAGCGAGCATCCCAGTAGCAACATCTGTCAGAATGCTGCCGTTTCAGGTGGGACTGGAGTAATTCGGACTGCATTCTCATGGCCGGGGGGGCAATGGCCCAACTTTCGGATGATGAGGCGATGTCTCAAGCACTGGGAACAGCGACTGTGGTGTTTGCTGAACCGGACGCGGAGCTTGTCAGAGAAGTTTTGCATCCACACCTGGAAAGAACGACGCCGAAAGCACATGCTGCAACTCAGAAAGGAACCTACAAGGACCAAGAAAAAACAGTACCGTGGCAGGGGAGGCACGCTATTGAACAAGTTCCGACCAATGCCTGCAGTGGGATGTGAGGCCACACATTGGCGGTAGAAATCTGAGAAGCTACCGGGGGGGCAAATGTCTAATGCCGCTCCGGTCCAAATTCGGAGGGTCCAATTTCCAAGCACCGCGTCGTGGACGCTTGTTGCTATTCAATCCATCAGGGATTGGCTCGGCTGCGTGCAGGTAGAGCGACATGAGAAAGTCATGCACCAGCTGCCTCTTTCCAGAAGGAGTCTTCTTCTCTCGCGGTGCGGATCTCAAATCAAAGGGGCACAACGTGTCCCCCCCGCCGAACTGATTGCGACAAAGTGTGGAAGCGAGTCTTGCCTATGGCCACCAACTTCATGAACCCACGATTGCAGACTGGATGCTCCAGTAAGTGCAGGTGTATCCAGCCCCGGCAGGATGTGTTTGGCTGATCTCGTAGAATCCCAAAAACATGGACATCCTTCTCAGACTTAGACATTCTGATCAAAAGTTGCCTCAACTGCAGCAGCTTTGAGAAGACGGGCTCAACGCGGAATGGAGCGAAGCAACTGCCACTTGAGCAGCCACACACGGACTGCACCAGGTGTCGCAAAATCTTCGGTGAGGCTGAGACCACAGGCTTCGTGATAGCCCTTTTGAAACTCTTCCGAGCAACCCTTTGAGGCTTGTCAACCCTCGTGCGATCATTCACGCCCTTGACATTGTGTGGAGAAGCGTGCAAAGAAGAACACCCCTCGTCCTCACTGAAGTGAAGAACATCAGGCAGCATAGGCATGTCCACAGAACCTGCACACGAAAGCAAGGCACTGGTTCAAAAAAATGGACGCCGTGCCGCCTCCAGAAGTGGATAGCAGCCACCTCAGCACACAGCACAGTTGATCAAGGAGATGGCACACGTTTGCCAACTGTGTGAAAATTGACTGTCAAAACACTGTGGCAAAAGAATGCACTCTGCCACAAGCAAACAATGAGCAATGCGGTAGCTGAGCTGGGCACAGGGTGCCCAATCCCACCAGTGAGAACCAGACCTTGATGAAACGTCTAAGTAAGCGCTGGAAAGCACACGCAAACTGTTGTGGACGCTGCAAGAGAACACGCTCTTAGAGAAAGCTTTGGAAAAGACAAAGCAACTAAGAACCTGACTCTA